AATGGAAACTTGCGTTGCGGTTTCCAATTGAACGCGCGGCCGTCGCAACTGCACCGCATTGCTCAGCGCGCAAAGCGCGCGAGCAGCATGGGGGGCTTTGCGTTCTCGCATGAGAAGTGCGCGGGACCAAACCGAACGGTCGGCGGCGCCCGCTCCTGCGCCGCGCGCGAGGCCATCGCGTCAGCGCGGGGGGCTACAAAGGCCTGCGCCGTCGCCCTGGGGCGCGGGCACAGCGCGAGGCCCGCGCGGGTCTCTCGCGCCAAACATGCGCAACAAGGTCGGCCCGCCCACCGGCTGGCGCTCGCGGGCGACGCGACGCCGGCGCCGACTGCGTGGCCGACTGGGCCAAGATTCCTGAGAGTCCCCGGAAGGGGCAGCGGGCCGCGATGGAATCGGCGCGGTCGTTGGCGCCCCCCCCGCGCCCGCCCCCCCCTGCAAGCCGACTCCTCCTAGCTTCGCTGGCTGTGCCCTCGGCGCGCGGGCGAGGGCTGGGCCGCGCCCGGCCCCCTGGGCCCGCCTGCCGCCAGGGCCGCCGGTAGCCGACCCAGCGGGCGGAGGCTCCCTCCCAGGCGGCGAGCTCCGCGAGCTCACGGGCGGCGAGTCTGCCATCGGCAGCCCTGTCGGAGCTCCTGCCCGCGCGGACCGGCCAAGCCGCGGGCTGACCGTCAGCGCGATGGTGATCGCGGCCGTCGAAGTGGAGCCGGATGGGCATCCGCTGGCGCGACGGCGCATCGGCGGGGTTCCGCTCAGAGGGAAGCCACCGGACGCCGGCCACCACAACGCCCGCCAGGCACCAGGCGGCGAACTGACGCGCCACGCGCATCATGCCTGGAGCGGGAGAGCGACCTTTGCCCAGAGCCAGAGTGGCCGTCATACTGTCAGTCAGAAAGAGGATGCGACGTCCCACGGCACGTGAGTCTCGAAGGGCATGGCGAAGCGCATGCACGAGTGAACGACCCTCGAGGGTGGCGATGCTCTCGCTCCGCCCCCAGCCTCAGACCACTCCCCACTCCCCCCTCACCATGTCGATCGGCACGTCCTCGAATCGCTCGGACTCGACCTTCTCCCCGATGACCTCCTCGAGCACCTCGCGTGGCCTCGCAGGAGTGCCGCCTTCGAGCTGCCTGTACCTCCACCTCTCTTGCCGCCCCCCGACCTCCGCCACCTTCTCCGAGTCGAAGTCCCTCTCGACGACCCCTCGGCCCTCCTCCGACGAATCGCAGCAGTAGAGCCCCCCAAGCCACGGAGCACGGAGGTCGGCACTTATCAGAGGCAAGAGAGCGACGGCCCATCGAAGTCCCCGGACGACGGATGCTGGAAGACGACGCTGCTGGTTTCGGCGACGAGCACAGAAGGCGTAGATGGCGTCAAAAACTGACAGGGCCGGCCAACGTGCCAGGCCAGCGAACGTGAAATGGCCCACTGTCCGCTCGACCTGCCGCCCGCCGGCGAACCCGACTCGGACGAGCTCGAGCGTTCCCAGCCGCAGGCGCCAAAGGCGCGCCATCTTCGGGCGAAGCACGCCCTCGCGCCCGTCGAAGCGCCACCCGAGCTGCTCGCGCTCCACTGCGGCCTGCTCGGGCTCGTGGAGCCTCAGGCCTCGGGCGGCCAGCCCCCGCTGAGCGGCCTGCAGTTGCGCGTCGGCCCGCTCAGCGGAATCGCCGAACCCCAGGAAGTTGTCCACGTGGGCAGCGTGCAGCCCCTCGCGCAGCGGCGGCAGCGCGCGGCCGTCGGCGACCCTGAGCCTGGGGCCCAGCCCGCCCTCCTCCTCCAGCGCGCTCTCGTGGGTCAGCTGACACAGGGCCAGGGCGTGGGCCCAGCCCATGGGTAGCACGGCCATCCTCGGCCGCACCCGGGCCCCGCTGCCCTGCACCGCCACTCCGGCCTCACGCAGCCGCTGTCGCTGGACTCGGGGAAGGTGGAAGTACTTGCGCAGCTCTGGCGGCAGCCCCATCTGTTAAAAGGCATCCTGGATGTCAACGGCCGAGACAAAAAGGTTGGACCCATCCCCCAGCCCGATGCTGCTGAGGGCTGCGCCCGTAGTGAGAGCCACCCGTTCTGGCTCCGAAAAGTGATAATTGCTTGCACGAGCGTCGATTACCAATCGTTGGCGCCCATTCTTCTTCTCCGCCGCGAAGAGGCCCACCTCCCCCCCCCCTGATCGTCGGTAAAATCGATCATAGTGGCGGAGCTGAGACGCGACAGGAACTGCGCGTACTTGTCCGGCCTGCGCAAGAGGGGGTCCAGGTAGGCTCGCTCGAAACCGTTCTCCACCCGCCGTGCCTCGGCCACGTGCTCAGGCAATACTTTGGACTCGAAAAACTGGCTGAGTCTCTGCTTCCCTTCCCGGCCCAGCAGGTCCGCCAAGGGGCGCGGCTGCGCTCCGGCGGCTGGCAGGCTGAGCAGGTCCACGCTCAGCGGGGCCAGGCTGCCGGGCTCGCAGCCCCCGTAGCCGCCCGAGCCTCGGAGCCCCCGCAGGGCTGCCTGAGGCGCGAGATCGCCTGGCGACCCCATGGCCGCACAGGCGTGTGCAAAGCGCTCCATGGCCAGATGCTGCGCGAGCGATGGCCTCCCGCCCGCTGGGGCGCGGAGCACATCCTCTCCGGCATCCAGCTGGTTCAGCGCCGCGCTCACCAGTTCGCACATGAGCTGGTGCTGATGCCGCCTGGCTCCCTGGCGGCTTCGGCCGGTTCGACCAGCCCCTCCCAGCAGCCCAGCGGCCCGGTCAAAACTCGGCGCCTCCGGCAGCGGCAGCGGCAGCAAGCCCCGCCACCTCTCCCCAGACATCCGACGTCTCGATTTTTTCGAGACACGGGCCTCCGACCTCCCGACCACTTCCCCGGGACCGGTTTTTCATCCCGAGTCGTTTTTTGACGGTCCCGAGGCCCGGCGAGGGCCCCGAGAGGCCAAAAACTGCGAAAAACCTTCGTCTCGATTTTTTCGATTTTCGATTTTTTCTCGATTTTTTCGAGACGGTCCTCAGCAGCCCGCCCCCTCGGAACGCTCCCCGGGGCGCGGGCCGGGGCCCGCCTGCGCCCCGTCGCGCGCCAGCTCACCCCCTGCTTTTCTCTGGCGGTGCCGCCCCTCGGGCGGCGGCTGGCTTCTTCTCTGAGCTGGCGAGCGTCCTTTTCCGAAGGGTGGCCAACCTCTCGATCTGGCGGCTGACCGTGTCGAGGAGGGCTGGGCGCCCCTTCGACGCGCAGCGGCCGCGGCCCATGCAGGACAGCGCCTCCTCCGTCGGGGCTCGCATGTCCCCCAGCGCCGCCTCGGCCATCCTCTTGTCGTGGTAGTGCCCCCCCAGCTGCAACTTGCGGTAGGCCAGCTCGACCACTGCCAGGCTGAACAGGTCCCCTCTGGTCCTGGGTCCCCAGCGCGTCCTCCACCTTCGTCAAGGTCCCGTGGAGGTTGACCCCGTGGACGGTGGATTGGAGCCGATACCTGATGCGCCATTTCTCAGGATGCAGCGCGGCTCCACCCTCGCGCTGTCGGTACTCCACGCCCCACTTCACCGCGCGGGGCCAGCCGACGGGGAAGTCTGGCAGCACCTCCCCCTGGCAGTCGGACGCGAGCGACCGCCACTCGTGGCTGCGCCCGACCGTCGTCATCAGCATCGACAGCGCTCGGGCGTCCGAGCCACGGCACTCCTGCCCGATCACGTCCTCCGCCCTGGGCCGCAGGAGCACGACCGCCAGGAAACAGCCCCACGCGAGGCCCGCCACGCCACGCCGGCCCCAGCGCCCCATGACCATCCGCCCTCCGGCAGAGCCGATGAGCTGCTCGTCGCCGAACTTGACGTTCACGTCGCCTGCGTCCTCAGCGGCCCGCCCACGGTACCCCGCTGGCGCCGCGCCAGCCGCCGGCGCCCCAGGGCTCGCGTCGTCGGGCCCGGCGACCCTGCCCGCGGCCGCCGGCGCCGGCGTCCCTGCCGCCGGCGCTGCAGGGGCGGGGGTGGCTCCTGGCGCGGCCGCGCCGGGCGACGGGGCGGGGACGTCGCCGGTGGCCGCCAAGCCGCCCCCGCGACCCGGAGGCCCGGCCCCGATCGCATCGAGCACGCCTTCTGGTGGGTCCTCCGCTGGACGTCCCGCGGCCAGCTTCATAGTAGTGCCAGCGGCCCACCGCCGTCGCATTGGCTATCATCCCCGCCATCGCTGCCCCGGCCGGCCCCGCGGACGCTAGCCCGCGGGACACCAGGCGTCTGCGGCCCGAACGTGCTGGCCTCTCGGATCGCCGCGACGCCGTCGGCCCGCTTGCCGTAGTCGTCGAGGCTCACGTCGTCGTCGGGCGTCACGATCACAATCTCAAAGGTCCCCAACGACCCCGCGACGTGCCCCTGTGGGCGTCGCTGGAGCCATGGCCTTGGGAGGCCCGAGTAGAACTCGCACGCGCACGTTTCCGGCGCCGGCCGCGGCACCGCCATCTCCGCGCCTGCCCAAGAGCACCCACACCAGCGCCAGCAGGAGCCCAATCGAGAAGCAGCCGACGCCCACGGCCGCCACCGCGGCGCCGCTCCAGCGCCCCACCTCCGGCTCCACCGAAGCCCGCGGCGGCGCGGGCGCATGCGCTCCCGGACAGGCGGGGATCGCCGGGCACTCGAAGGGCGGTATGGCGGGGCACTCGAAGAGCGGGCAGGCGGGGCACGGCGGGCAGGCGGGCCCTGGCTCACAGCGGGCGGCGTTCAGCAGCCAGCTCGAGCCCGCCCACCGCCCCAGCTCAGCTCCGAATCCGCCGACCAGCGCTAGCGCCGCCAGGGTCCCCATTCCCTGAGCCGGGACGGCTATAGTACGGAAAAGAAGTGCAAGCAATTGAATGGCGGCTGCTCTGTCTACAGCAATTCTGCATTTATACGCAAGCTTCGACCATATGTATGCATGCATGCATGCATGCATGCATGCATGTATGTATGTATGCATGCATGTATGCATGTATGGGTTGTGTGTGTGCCGTTCCGCTCCCTCGACTCCAGAGCTGTCGCGCGAGCGCGATGGAGGTGTGGCGCGCACCTCTGGGGAGCCCCCTGGAAGGGCGTGTTGGGCGCCAAGGAGCCCTGCCGCGCGCCGCGGCCGCCGCCGAGAGCGTCGGCAACAGCAACCAGACACACACAGACACAGACACACACACACAGACACACAGACCACGCACACAGACACACATACAGACACACACAGGCTCACACAGACACACACACACACACACACACACACACACACACACACACGTACGCACACAAACACACACACACACACACACATATACAGAGACACAGACACAGACACACACACACAGACACACACAGACACACACAGACACACACACACACACAGACACACACACACACAGACACACACAGAAACCGACACGCGGACACACACAAACACATACACTCACGTTTGTGTTCCTTCCTGGCCGGCTGATCCAACTCAACGGAAATTCAGCGTTGGCGCTAATGAGAACTACCGTCAAGCGTTCTTGATGAGTCAGCGCCGAAAATCTGCGGTGCAGAAAGAGGAAGCATGCACGGCCATGCACGGCGCAGGTCCGCATAATTAAAGGAACGCGCGAAGAAGACAGCTGTACACCGCGCTGCCCAGACCAGCCGCAAGTGGGCGGCCCTGCGGGAAAGCAAGGCGCGGGAGGCAGGCGAGCGGCGGCAATGACATCGTTTAACCGATCCAACTCCCCACCAGCGTGGGCTGGGCCCTTCAGTCGATTTACTTACCTCCAAAATAAGGATATGGGCTGGTGCCTTCGGGTTCTGAGGGGTATATCCCCAACTGGGGTACCCAGATGATGAGCCTGAGGCAACTACCATGGCTTCGTGGGGATGGGGATAGGGAAAACGATACTGGGGCAAGGCAACGATCGCAAGCTGCCAGGCACGTCGCCGGGCCAGCAGCTTTGGGGATGCGCACAGAAGACAGGAAGCGCCAACCCGCATGTAGACGACCAGGGCGAGCACGCAGAGGCAAGGTACGACGCCCGGGAGCCGGAGCAGACCCAGCGTTGGGAGGCAATGACAGATGAAAGCGACCGCAACGACCCAGGGAACGAGGAGGACGAAGCCCCGCGCCGTAGCACACACAGACACAGACACGCAAACACACACAAACACACACACACAAGCACACTTTTGTTGGCGTCGCGGCCCCGCGCGCGACGCCATGGCGTTGAACGCGCACACACATGTTTCCTCCAGCGGCCGAGCGACGTCGCCTCACTACAGCGATAGCTAGGGCGGGACACACACACACACACACACACACACACACACACACACACACACACACACAAACACCACACAAGCACACAGACGGAAAGAAACCCTCCAGAAGACATGACCAAACGCTGCCTTCTCTCCGCCTGGGCAAGAAGGAGGGACACCGGCTCAGGGGGAGGAGACATCGACCTGGAGGTGGCGGCGGTACAACGCCGATGGATCGGCGAAGGGCAACCGATAGCGAAACCGCGCGTTCCTGGGCGGGGGGGGGAATAAGGCCTTGTTTGTGATCATCAATGGGCGATTGGTGGTCGATACGTTACCTCGCACGCTGCCCCTGATCTATGCTTCCTGCCGCCTCCCCTTTCTAAGTCGATACCACGCTGACGCGCCGGGGCTTCCGTGTTTCGATGCCGTCGGGAAGGACAAAAATGGGGCAACGGAGGTCCAGGAGCAAGAGCAGGATCAGTAGCAGCAGCAGCAGCAGTGCGCTGGCCCTACACTTCTCGCTCGATGCCTGCTGCTCCCTCTACGCAACTCGCAGCGGCCCTTGCAGGACCGGTCAAAATCGAATCGAGGGGTCGGATCGGGTCGAAATGCGCGCAATATCGGCCCACATCAACACGGTGCCAAAATCGAATCGTATCGGCCGCGCTAGGATGCACATCAACGCCGGTTCCTGGAGTCGAACTGGATCAGGCCAGCCAGAATCAGATCGAAATGCAGGAGTGGGCGAAGAGCGAACATCATAAACATAAACTTTCAGAGGTCCGCGCGGATTTCTTGGATGGGCGCTGGACCAACCTGGAGATGCCTCTGGCGCTGCCCCTGGCGCGCTTCGCACGCCAAGGAGGGGGTGCAACGCCGACCTAAGACATCCGCGCGGGCATCCGAACAAAGATATCTGTATGCAATCTGTACGATCTGAGCCGTGATGAACTGCGCGTTGGCTCCTGATGGGACGCACATGGACATACTGGTACTACCTGTCCTCCTTGGAGGCGCGCGTCCGGCCCAAACATATAGCATTCACATCTTGTAGTACATCGTTTCCCGAGTGGTGTGGCCAGAAAGCGCCCGCCATGACGCATATACTATAAGATTTCTCTGTGCGCGCGTCGCCCCCAGGAGGGCGACACGCAATATCATTACGCTGGGGTGACGCCGACCTGACACAGAGTGGATCTCTCAACCTTGAACGATCGCGGCCTTTCAAGTGTGCACACTTCCGCCTCCGCCCCACCCAGTAGGGCGCACCCAGGCTAAGCA